TCATTTTACATCATATATACCCAGTATATGTACATAGTAATTTTCCTCATTCCAAGATTATATTAATTTATGTATATAAATTTATCTTTTATACAACTTACGTTAATCTCTTTTTTATCATTATTTTAAAATTAATGTGACTATCTTCCATATACAAACCACTATTATTTAAATATTCTAATTTAAATATTCTTTCTTATTTAAATATTCAGACGTTTTACCATCTTAATATTTTGTTACCCAAACAGTATCGTTTATTATTTAATTATATTACATTCGTTATTTAACATAGTTTCTTCGTACTAAATATTAAATGTATTTTATATGTCATTAATTCACTTTTTAACTACAAAAGAAATTTACTAAAATACAAAATACAGAAATTATATTTAATTGTGATAAGTTAACGTTTCGCTTATAAGTAAAAAACGAAAATAATGAGGATGTCTTTTCTTATACGAAAACGTTCAAATAATTTAGAAAAGATGGTTTAAAGGATAAAAAGAATATAATTCTAGAATTATATATACTAAGAAGCAGAAAAAGCTTAACATATTTAAATATCGAAATTTTCTTAATTTCAATTTAGATACGTGCGATTTAATATCAGAGAATCGTTCCATCATTTCAAAATTTTGTGTTTAAAATTAGCAGAAATCTAAGGAGTATAAAACAAATTAAGAATTCATTCATTCATAATTTCGATCCACATATTTTTTAAATTTTCTATTTTCTCATTATACATATATATATATATAAACTTACGTTATTAACTTATACGTTACCATTAACTTATACTAAATATTTAACAAATAATAATCTCAATCAGATTGTTCTCCGTGATAATGAGAGATCAGGCAAACATGACGGGAAACGATCCAAAATGGATCATTTTTGACGGCGACATAGATCCAATGTGGATTGAGTCATTGAATACTGTAATGGATGACAACAAAGTATTAACTCTGGCTAGTAACGAAAGAATCGCTTTAACGGCACATATGAGACTTCTCTTCGAGATTTCAAATCTTAGGTAATAATTTTTTACCATTATAGTTTCATTATCAGTAACTTTTTTGTTCAACGATTGTTATTGCAAGTTTTATATAACATAATACATTTTTTGTACATGGTAATTTATAAAAGTTATGTACAGTGTGTCGAGTAACCAAGCACGAGATGATTTCTCGTGAAAAAATAACTCGAAAATGTGAAATAAATGTGGAGTTTCGTTCTCAAAGAAAGTGAACTTAAAAATTTGTTGTATTAATTTTAGGTTTTAATCTTAAAATCGTACCGTGGTGTCAGTTTTGAAATATCTAATTTTATTTTGTATTTTATATTATCACAAATCAGTAAATTGTAAAATTAAATAATGTAAAACTTAAATTTTTATGACTTGCAATGTCCGATAATGTCGCTTAGTAGTTAATTGAGAACAAACTTTTGCTTGTGATAAGAGATTTCCCAACGAGGATTAATATTGTTAGATAATATTGAGATTTCGAAACGTATCCAAGAAAGATTTTATCCTAATGTTTGCTAACATTACAACTAATTTCACAGGGGCACAAAAGATGCACTGATAAATTGAGATAAAATTGTTTCTAAAAATGACTTATGCCTAGAAGATTCAGATATTTTTATTGAATTAAAATTGTATTTCATAAATAATAATAATGTTAAAGAATTAAAATTAAACACTAGCCCTATTTCCAATTAAAATACAAATAATATAGATATAGATACAAGGATTATAATAATTTAATTATTATAACAATTATTATGCAATAATTTAATTGAAGGAATAATATTTATTATTGTAATCAGTAATAGTTTAAAGTTTTTGTTCTTGTAGCATCTGTTGTCGTTAAACAATAATTAGATTGAAGAGCTTCACGCAAATTTATATATTTTTGAAAATAAATTCAAAAGTACAGTCTAGATAGAGATTTGTTTTATCTACTAAATATTTCATCTACAAATACTGCAGTTTGATTATTTTATATATTACATTAAACTATTAATGTATAAATATTACTAAATTTTTAAGAAATGCACATTTTCATAAATACATTTGCATAGTATATATTCGACACTGTTTGTATTGTTTATTTATTACATTTATTTTATTCCTTGTAAGCTTCTAATTTATAATATATATGTAAATATCATTTATTGTGCAAGAGTTTAAGTAAAATTTGAAAATAAATTTTAGGACAGCGACGCCAGCTACTGTTTCTAGGGCAGGAATTCTTTACATAAATCCACAAGATATTGGATGGTATCCGTAAGTAAACATTCATTTTGGTTTCAATGCCTAAATTCTCCTTTTAAAAAATATTATATATTATGAAATTATGTTATACAACAAACGAAATTTACAAAGACACTAAAAATTTATTGCTGTAAGGAAAAAATTATCGGAGAATCATAGTATCTAATTAAAAGAAAGTTGTGAAATGATGTAACAAAATTTTCATAGTAACATTTTACTAAATTGTTATCAAAAAACATAAGTATCATAATATTGACAAATAATATTAAGATCTTTGTATTTCATAGGTTCAGATATTCGATTTTTTTATACAGTGTTATACTATTATAAATTTCACTTCGATTGTTGCATTTTCAAACTCCTTCTGCGATTTCATTGCTTTTGTATATTATGATTTGTTTGCACATCAGTAGGATAAAAGTCTTTTTAAAAAAGTATATAATATAAGTATGTTGGAAACATTTTCATAATTCGCACAAATACTGAAAGAAATGATCAATATATTTTTCCGATACTCTCATGTTCATTCTTCTTATGTTCATTCTTCCTCCGCATTTGGCAAGCGTTGAAGCAAGAACACATGATGTGGTAATACATTAATTTGAAATACTGTTCTTTATTTGATATTAACTTTAGCAAAGTATATAAGAAAGAGAAAATATAAAAATAATTATTATTTTCAAATAATAAAATAATAATTATTACTATTACATAATTATATTATTGTTTACATTATATATAATTATTATATAATAATATAAAAATGATTATATAATATAATATAATAATTAAATAATATTAATAATATTAATATAGAAAAAAATTGATTTTTAATTAATTTTTCACTTTCTGTGAAAATATGTAAAATGTTTATTTCAATTATAAATCAACATTATTATTACAGAAAAAAATTTCAGTTGATATGCTCACACTTTCAAAATATTGCTTCAATCTTATTATTATTTATATATATAATTAATTGAATAAATCGTTGACACAAACTATGGAATTTAGAAAAGATATAAATTTAATGAATTTACAAAGGATATGAAATTTAAATGATTTATTATTCAAATTTAAATGATTTTTTTCATAAATTACATTTATTTATTATTATATTTTGAATACACCATTATTACATCATTATTATAATACATCATTATTACATCAATAATTATTACATCATTATTATAATATTTTGAATTACTATTTCAAATCCAATGCATATGTATATATATAATATTTTTATTATTTATAATGATACGAAACCAAAAAGTGCATATTAATTTCTCTCTTTTCTTTTTTTATTTTCCACTTTTCTTTTTCACAATCTGTTTCTTGGTGTCAAATTGATTCAGTGGTAAAGAGTTAATAAAAAGATAAGAAAAATAAAGAATTAAGCTTGCAGATTCTTTTATCAATATAGTAAATAAATCAAATTTCTATTAAGTTATTCGCAAGCATTCGACATACCTATTCATTTTTATATCGTGATTTTATACAATTTTATAAGACAAATGTATCAAATTAGCGTACAAATGATAAATGAGACATTAAGGAACAGAAAACTTACGTCTTGTAATTACTCAATAAATTTTATTATTATTATTATTTTTCGTAGATTTGCAATTAGCTGGATAGAAACGAGAGACCCAGCTGAAAGAGCAAACTTAACCATTCTATTCGATAAATATGTCCCATCCCTCATAGAAGTAACAAAATTTAAGTTTAAAAAAATTACACCATTGCCAGAAATTTGCCACGTGGAAATGCTTTGTAAATTATTAGACTATTTTCTAGTCAAAGAAAACGTGACACCGGATTGCCCAAAGGAATGGTACAAACGAAAGCCTTAAACAATATTTAAATTTATTCTACTGTATATGTCAATTTATATATATAAACTGACATATACAGTAGAATATCTTATATCTGAATTGTACTTTAATTCGAATATTATAATATTTTCTATTGCCCAAACGTTCTGTTATCCAAAGTATCATAAAGTAGAAATTATTATAAAGTATATACAAAGTATATACATAATTTAAAATTTAATATAAAAATAAGTACGTATTTATCGATAAATTTTTTTGTACATACTTTATGATAACTTTCACGATTGGAAAAAGAACTACTAAAGTAGAGTACAAGATACAAAATTTTACTAATAAGAAACAATACTAATAAACCGTGATAAATCAACATTTTGTTTATGAACGATAAAAATTTTATTATTCTATAAAAATATTACATAACTTTTTCACAATGATGAAAAATATGCCTTTTTACGTTGAAATACTGAAAATATTTATAGAAGTGATTCAATAGTTTGAATATAAGAAGAAAAAGAAGTATAAAAA